TCGTCCGCTGCGACTGGCTACCTTCCTCCTGGCTTGAAAACGGCTCCTGGCTGCATGCATGTAGGGATTCTGGGCTGTCCCCCTCCTCCTCAGCACCTTCACTCCCGCTTTCCTTCTCCTGCCTTGTTGAACTGGGCTCTGAAGTGTCCATGGTGGTCTTCAGAGTGGAGGTGGGGTCGCCCCCAAGTATTGTGTCCAGCTCTTTGTAGAAACGGCAGGTCACGGGGGCAGCACCGGAGCAGCTGTTTGCCTCGCACGCTTTGCGGTAGGCTTTCCGCAGCTCCTTCACTTTAACCCTGCACTGCACTGCGTCCCGGTCATGGCTCCTTTCCATCATGTCCTTTGATATCTACCTGTAGGTATCGTAATTCCTATGACTGGAGCGCAGCTCGGACTGGACAGCTTCCTCCCCCCAAACACTGATGATGTCCAGCACCTCGCCATTGCTTCATACTGGGGATCGCTGGCATATGGAGGCATGGTCACCTGGAAAGATGCGCTGAGAGCACTACACGCCTTTCTGAGCAAACAGGAAGGGGATTTTCAAAATTCCCAGAGAATTTAAAGGGTGGGTCTGACGGTTGGTCACCTGAGGGCAGGGCAGTAGAGTTCAAAGTGATGACCAGAGTGGCTAGAACAGGCATTGTGGGACACTTCAAGAGGCCAATCAGAGCACATTAATAGACCAGGATGTCTACACTGGCACTGTGGCGCTCCAGCCGGGGCGCAGCAAGCATTATGCTTCTCATGGAGGTGGATTACCAGGAGCGCTCCAGCCGTGGAGTCCAGGCACTCTACGTGCCTTGCCAGTGTGGATGCGTCATGAGTTAGGGCACCCAGGGCTGCTTTAATGCGCTCTAACTCACAAGTGTAGCCAAGCCCATAGCTTATGCCTCTCACGGAGGTGGAGTAATTATGCCAATGGGCGAGCGCTCTCCCATCAGCATAGTGTGTCTTCACCAGATGCACTACAGCGGTGCAGCTGCATTGGTGGAGCTACTCCAATGTAGCATGGTAGTGTAGACTTGCCCATAGTCTGAAGCCAGAGGCGCAACTGTGTAGCCAGCATGACAGAGGAGTGCAAGAAAGAGATTTCTTCAAATGAATTACCAGGAATCATAAAAGACACCTATCAAATGATTAAAGGCCACCCTGTAGCTCTCTGTCCTCTTGTGGGGTCTCAGAGTCATTCCCCAGGTTGTGGTCAGGAACATACACTCAATACACAGGATACATAATTCAATGTTTCCGTTAAATACCCAAACCAACAATTATTAATAAGCACCTCCAGCCACCCCTCTGCCACAGATACTTAAAAACAATGAGGAAACCCTGTGATTAACTGTGGGAGAAAGGAGATGCTAAAGACATCATAAATAGGGGAATGGTGAATAGGAGGAGGGAGGTGATCATGATGGTCCCTTCTGGCCCATAGTCTGTGAGATGTTACCGCTGTATACAGCATTGGGGAGAGCGATGCTGGACTGCTGCATGCAGTTCTACAGTCTAGATTTGGAAAAGGATGTTGAAAAACTGGACAAGGTGCAGAAGTGAGACACAAAAATTATTCAAGGACTGAAAAAAAGGCCTGATCATGAGAGACTTACGGAGCTTTATTATGCTGTACCTCTATGGGGAGACAATGTCAGGTGCTAAGGGGCTCTTTAATCTAAGGGAGTGGGAAGCAGAACAAGAGTCAATGCCTGAAAGTTAAAGCCAGATAAATTCAAATTAGACATCAGGAACAAATGTTAGCAGTGAGGGTGATTACGCATGGGAACAAACTAACCCAGGTGGATTCTTCATCTCTTAATGTCTTCACATCAAGATCTGATACCTTTCTGGAAGATATGTTTTAGCCAAACACAAGTCATTGGATTCAGTGCAGCGGGAATGGGCCTGTGTTATGCGTAGGGCCCTACCGAATTCACAGTCCATTTTGGTCAATTTCACAGTCATAGGAATTAAAAAATCATAAATTTCATGATTTCAGCTATTTAAATCTGAAATTTCACAGAGTTGTAATTGTAGGGGTCCTGACCCAAAAAGGAGTTGCGGGGTGGTTGCAAGGTTATTGTAGGGAGGGGGTTGCAATACTGCTACCCTTACTTCTGTGCTGCTGCTGGTGGTGGTGCTGCCTTCAGAGCTGGGAAGCTGGAGAGTGGCGGCTGCTGGCCAGGAGCCCAGCTCTGAAGCAGAGCTGCAGTCAGCAGCAACGCAGAAGGATGGTATGGTATGGTACTGTATTGCCATCCTTACTTCTGTGCTGCTGCCCACAGAGCTGGGCCCTCAGTCAGCAGCCGCCACTCTCCAGCCGCCCAGCTCTGAAGGCAGCAACGCAGAAGTCAGGGTGGCATGGTACGATATTGCCACCCTTACTTCTGCACTGCTGCTGGCAGGGCACTGTCTTCAGAACTGGGCACCCAGCCAACAACTGCCACTCTCCAGCTGCCCAACTCTGAAGGCAGCACAGAAGTAAGAGTGTCAATGCCACAACCCCCCTAAAATAACCCTGTGACCCCCCTACAATTCCCTTTTGGGTCAGGACCCCCAATTTGAGAAACGCTGGTCTCCCCCATGAAATCTGTATCGTATAGGGTAAAAGCATACTAAAGACCAGATTTCACATGGGGGGAGGGGGCGGGGAAGGGGGAGAACAGATTTCATGGTCCATTACATGTTTTTTATGGCCAGGAATTTGGTAGGGCCCTAGTTATGTGGAAGATCAGACTAGGTAATCTAGTGGGCTCTTATGGCCTTAAAATCCATTAATCTTGCCCTTCTGGTTCATTTCTTGCTTTCTGTTCCTTTCCCCTATTTAGAGGTTTGCATTGCCCTTGGGAATCTCTGTGATAGAATTAAATAGCCTCCATGCTAAATGTAAGGATTTTAATTTCTTCCCTTTTCACTTTACGCTCTTTTTGATGAGTCTCCTCATTTCTGGGAAGTTCCCCTTCATAAAAGTCAGTGTCTCTGGGCTAAATTTTGGTATCTTCCTTTGTAGATGTAGAACGTAATTACATTCTTTTCACTGTTGCTTAGTCCTAAATAACATGCAGGAGATTGTTAAAAAGTAACTATAGTTGAGCCACTATGTCAAGAATAGCTTCCCCTCTTGAGTGCTCCACTACTAGCTGCTCCAAGAAGTGATTGTTTGAGACTGTTGTTTCCAGCCACGGGTACTGTACGCCAAGGAGGTACGCAGAGGCCTTCCAGGGGATACATCAACTCATCTAGATATTTGCCTAGTTTTACAACAGGCTGTGTAAAAAGCACTAGCAAAGTCAGTACAAACTAAAATTTCATACAGACAATGACTTGTTTATACTGCTCTATATACTATACACTGAAATGTAAGTACAATATTTATATTCCAAATGACTTATTTTATAATATATATGGTAAAAATGAGAAAGTCAGCAATTTTTCAGTGATAGTGTGCTGTGACACTTGTATTTTTATGTCTGATTTTGTAAGCAAGTAATTTCTAAGTGAGGTGAAACTTGTGGGTATGCAAGACAAATCAGACTCCTGAAAGGGGTACAGTAGTCTGGAAAGGTTGAGAACCACTGCTTTAGAAGACAATTTAGAAACAGAGAAAAGAAATAGGAAGATTTAACAGGTTTCCTAAAACTCCAGACAAGGATTGTGGTCAACATCTCTGCTCCTCATGCGCAGGAAAATTAAAATGAGAGGGTTTTTTTGCAATTTTTCAAAATTTGGCCAGTTTTGTCACACTTTAAAAACAATTGTCATATTCTTCCCCATTCCACATTCAGCGAGTGTGGAAGACATTCTTTTTAAACATTAAATCATATCACTAAAATGGGGTCAACATTTTCTCTCTCCCCCTTTATGGGAAAATGAGAACTGCACTTTGTGTAATGAAAGAATCCAAGGAGAGTCTGTTCCTGGCTCATGCAAAACTATTAGCCACCCCTGAGAGCTGCATGGAGCAGGAAGGAGCCGGGCAAGATACAACATGATGCAGAAGCAGAGCCTACAGACTTATGAAACACAGAACACAGTGAATACTTAATCCTGCCATGCGTGCAGGGGACTGGACTAGATGACCTCTCAAGGTCCCTTCCAGACCTATGATTCTATGAATCTGAGCTGACAGGCACGATGTGAGGATCCTACCTAGAGGGATTAAAGAGTTGTGGAATACATGGTTTGAACCACCACTGATGTTAAGGGAATGATTCCCACTGACTTTCTTTGATGGGTGCTGTCTTGGCCCCAGCATAAGCAGCACAGAAGAGCAGGCAGTAAAACACTTTCAAGTCCCCCAAGATATCTACAGTAGTGGTTCTCAAACTTTTGTACTGTGACCCCTTTCACATAGCAAGCCTCTGAGTGCGACCCCCCCTTATAAATTAAAAACACTTTTTTATATATTTAACACCATTATAAATGCTGGATGTAAAGCAGGGTTTGGGGTAGAGGCTGACAGCTCGCAACCCCCATGTAATAACCTCGCGACCCCCTGAGTGGTCCCGACCCCCAGTTTGAGAACCCCTGATCTACAGCCTTATGCTTCACCTTTCAGGTCAGGCTTACATGTTAGTAACCAAAACTTTTTAAACTTGTGCTCTGAGCCTGCAGCTGTGACGCAGACAGAACCATCATTAAGGCAATCTGGTCCAAAGAGGGCTTGCAGGGTCACCCTTTTAGATGTCAATGAAAACCAGGAAATATTACCAAAAGATCCTAGACACGCATTATCCACCTTGTCCCAAAATTGAAATCCTCCGTTGAATTTGATAGTCCCTTTCTATAATTTGTTAAATTCCCTTTTTAATCTGATTATTCCAGGGTTAGCTCAGGCAAAGATTTCTAACTCAAGACCACCTGTTCTTAATCTTTTACAAACTGGATTGAATCTTGTAATTTGAATATAATAAATGTTAAAAAGCGAGAAAAGATATTTGATACCCCTCCCCCAAACGTACTTGTTATTCTAACTTGTGTCTCCTTTGGGCATTTTGGCCATTTACCTGTGAGAAGAGGTGCAATCACAGAGCAGAGAATGAAGATGAGGCTTGTGAACATTTCACTCAGACTCATTGTCTTTGTCCAGGTTCATGCCATGTAGTTGGGCTCTGAGTTTCCTCTTCCCGGAGAAGGAACACCATTCAGTCTATCCATGCTTTGAGCAATGTGGGGATTTTGAATCTCAGCAAAGACTTTGTGTAGATGTCACTGCAGAGTGGAAACTGATCCTGTAATGATCAAGCCAGGAACAGGCATCCTCCTGCCTAAACATCCAGATGCATTGCTTAGGAGGGCGTGGCCGCAAGGAATGCCAGGGATAATTGCATACAATCATCTGCTTAAAGGGTTGTGCAATTGCCCAACTAGAATAGACAAGGCTGTCCCTGTTTTAACTGAACAGCTACTACATGTATTAAGGTAGGCCACTGCACAGGTAAAACCAGATTATTTTGTCTATTCTATTGCCCAGACTACTAGCCCTGTAATTACCAAAGGTGAGGAGTATCCCTTCCTAGGTACCTCACAGACACTCGATGCTGATGGTGCTGTCAATAGTACCAATACTGCGGCACAGATCAACGTCATGAAGTTCTTCCTGGTTGCCTACATGCAGAACAATAACTCAGTGTTCGGGGAGTCTGTGGGACCCAGCACATCTCCCCAACCTGGTGTTGCAACAACTCCTGCCAGTGAGAAGGAAGGAGATACGAAGGCTCCACAAGCCTGGCAGACAGAATTGATGGTAACACCATTGTGAATTCCACTGTCAAGGTGACAGAAGGAGAGAGTGAGAACAGGGTGCAGGGAAAGGTTCAGGTGAGGTTGCCTGGTAGCAATCCAGCATGTCCCTTTTGTGGGGATCATACTGGAAAACCAGCAGCTCTGAATATTCATCTTAAATGTAACCACGGTGGGAAGAATGTGGAGTTTCAATGTTCCCTGTGTGAGAAAATGGATCTAAATCCCCAAGTGTAAGAGATTGACATCACAGGACTCAGCTAATGACTGGGTTTGTGAAGTGTGTGCCAGATAGTGTGGCACCAAATCAGGTATGTCTCAACACAAGAGACTAACCCAGCTGGCACAGTGGTACACAACAAAGAATGAATCCAAGCCAGTCAACCTAAATACAACTCACTGTGTGGAAAACACAAGAGTTATTAGATGGCCCAGGAAGAGTTACCCCTTACCAATTTTGGCAATATATACTTGGGCCAGAAGTATATTAATAAACTCATTGCAAAAGAATTGATCACCAAATCTGCTAAGCAAATTGGTGACAAAAGGAGGATGCTTGGTCTAACCAACAAGGACTCTTAGCCAGGACATGGAGCCACCATTTGTTATCTGGAAGTAAGATCTGATGAGCCCCAAACCACAATGGGGCTCAAAATTAAGAAAGGCCTGAAGGATCATGGCCATGAGGACTTTGAGACTAACAGCCTTAGAGCATGGGTTGAAGGAGACGTAATGTCAGGTCTCTAGTTGAAACAACTTCCACTGGAGTTCTCTCCTCCTTCCTAATGAGAGCGACAAAGCTGCAAAAGAGATCAAAAAGAAAGCCAAGACCAACAAGGGGAGGAAGGAGAAATCTTGGATGAGAAAAAGAGCAGCTAAAAGAGGTACTTAACTGAGGTATCAACAGCTTCATGACAACGACAGGTGTAAACTTGCCTCTATCATCCTTGATGGCATTGAACTCCTCCAGCGCCAAGTCCCACTCAAATATGTCCACCATGTGTACAGGGATAAGTGGGAGATCAAAACGCTCTTTGATGGGTTGGGCCAATTTAGATCTCATGTCAGGGCTGATAATTTGGCATTTAACATCCTAATATCAGCTAAGGAAGTATTAAGAACATAAAAGAGAAGAATGGCTCCAGGTCCTGATGGTATCAGTTTGAAAGTTCTTGTCTGTGTGGACCCTAACAGAGATATGTTGGAGGGGCTATTCAACAAATGGCTGATTACAAATCCTGATGGTATTAAGGAATATCCATCACTACTGATCCCAAAAATGATGGCACCAGAGGAGCTCAAGGATATCGCGAATTGGAGGCCTCTTATCATCATTTGCTGTGGCTTTTCGAGAATGTTGAAAACAGGCTGGCTAAAGTGTGCCCATTAAATGAGAAACACAAGGGTTTATTTTGGCACCTGGCTGCTCAGAAAACCTGAATGTTCTTCACATCATAGTGAAGCAAGCAAAGAAGGACAAAAAGCCTCAGGAAGTCATATTTATACATATAGCCAAGGAATTCAATTCAGTGTCCCATGATCACATCATCTGGGTGCTGTGGGGAGCGGCTTGGACCAGCACATGGTGAACACTCTTAATGACTCCTATAGGAACATCCATACCCTTATAGAAGTGGGGAAGGAGCTCACACCTCTCCATTGGTATCAAAGTCAGGGTCAAACAAGGGAACCCCACGTTACTACTGCTAATTATCCTAGCTCTTGATCCTCTGATATCAGTGCTAGAAAAGTCTGGTAGAGGATTCTCGTATGGGGCACAGAAAGTGACAGCTCTCGCCTTTGCAGATGATTTGATCTTGCTCAGTGACTTGTGGGAAGGCATGAATGGGATCATTGAAGTTCTGGAGTCCTTTTTTAGGCTATCCAGCCTGAAGGTGCAAGCTAGAAAATGCCACAGATTCTTCCTGAGTCCAACTCACAGCTCATACACTGTCAACAACTGTGAAGCCTGGAAGATAGGTACAGATGGGCTGAATATGATAATACCATGCGGGAGTCTGAGAAATATGTTGGTGTGAAGATTGATCTATGAAGTGAATTCTTCAAAGCTGCACTGTCTGATAAACTTGACACCTGGCTTGAGAGGATTGATAGGATCCATCTCAAGCCTTTACAAAAACTGACATGGTGAATGGCTTCACTGTCCCTCAGGTTATCTATCTGGCAGATCCATACTGATTGTAAGAGAACTTCACTATCTTCCCTCAATAACAGCATGAGGAGGGCCATTAAGGAGTGGCTTCTTCCCCTGGCCAACACCTGCATTCGTGCCAGATCCAGGGATGGAGGTCTGGGCGTGATGAGACTCTCTAGCCTCATCCCAGCTATTCAGGCAGGGTGATGGCATAGAGAATTGCATGTTCCAAAGATGAGACATTTCTGAGCACTGCATAGTATATTGAGGAGGAGTTCAGCAGACTGTGGCTGGCAGCATGTGGGAATGAAAAGGCAGCACCTGCGATAACAGATCAAGTTCTGTTCTTGGACAATATCAGAATACCATATAGTGTCTTTTACCCATTCAATGAGTGGGAGATGCTCATTCCCAGGATCAAGTACCCAATCCCCTGTAGCTGGACAGATGCAGACTTCTCTAATGGAAAGAACTACCATGCTAAGGAAGCCGGGTCAAACATTTCATAATGATCCAGTCAGCTATGATTGGCTCAGGAACCACATGTGTTTCAGAGCACCAGTTTCCAACAGCCTTAAAGTTGAGAATGAATGTGTATTCCACCCGGGAATATCTAAGGCATGGCAAAGACAATCCCTTAGTGAGGTACAGACACTGCATAATGGTGTGGGGGTCTAGAACCCAGGTCTGCAGAGCTGCTAGGCAGTTAGCATCTCCATGCTGTCACCTAGCAGCAGCTGTAATGAGCCTGCACTCCACTGCCCATGACCTGCTATGGACACAGACCATGGAACATCCCACCTCAAGGGGTCTGACAGGCAGCAGCCCCAAAGCTTCTGTCTGGCTCCTCACCCTATGCAAACCTCACCTGTAGATGCCAGGACCATTCCTTGATCAACTCCTGAACTCCTGGCTTCGACCTCAGATTGATTTGGACTTCGCCTTCTGACTCAGACTCTGAAACCTGACTTGGACTCTGACCCTTGGTATCGACCCTGGCCTGGAATCTGACTGTGCTCTTCTCCACTACTCCCTGCCTCAGAGTTGCCCCTGCTCTGACCCTTAGTCCTGACTGCATTTGTTGGGATCCTGACACATTGTTCTGCTAAATATGAATCGTTATCTCACATTTTGGGACAATACCCAGCAGTCCAACATGCCTGCATAAGGAGGCATAATAAGATGTGTGAGATTTTGGTAAAAGAGGCAAGGAAACTTGAGTGAGTTGTATATCAGGAACCAAAACTACACACTGATGATGGCAAACTGAGAAAAACAGACTTTTTATTTGCAAAGGATGGAACAGCCCATATGGTCGATGCCATTGTTTGTTTTGAATATAGGGAGAAAGCATTCATGAACGCAGTGGCAGAGAAAGTGTCGTATATACTCGATCATAAGCCGGTTCGTTTATAAGCCGACCCCCCCACCAAGATGGATAAGTAAAAACTGAAACATTTTATAACCCGTTTATAAGCCGACCCTATAATTCAGGGGTCAGCAAACTTTGGCTCCTGGGCCATCAGGATAAGCCGCTGGTGGTCCGAAATGGTTTGTTTACCTCGAGCGTCCGCAGGCACGGAGGTAAATCTAAGTAAACAAAGTGTCCCGGTGCGCCAGCTGCTTACCCTGACGGGCCAGGACAGCAACTGGTGGGGAAATTTTTTTGGGGGGAGAAGCTGGGAGTCAGGGGAGTAACCCCTGTGATCACCCACCACATGACCCCACCCCTAGCCTGGGACCCCCACATTCTCCCCATCCCATCCCTTCCCAACTTATCTGGGGAGGGCCAGGGGAAGATGTCTGTGACCTGACTAGAGCTGCTCCGGCAGGCTGGGCAGCGTGGCCGCAGCCTGTTCCGGTGGGCCAGACCAGGCGGCGCGGCTGCAGCATGTTCCAGTGGGCTGGACCGGGCAGCTTGGCCACAGCGTGCTCCGGCGCCCGGGCAGCGTGGCCACAGCCTGCTCTGGGGGGTGGGGCCGAGTGGTACAGCTGCAGCCTGCCAGCCCCAGAGCTGCAGCTGCTTTGGAGGCTGGGAGGAGAGCAGCGTGGCCAGAAGTGGAGAGACTCTGGCCCCACCTCTTCCCTTCTGTCTCTGCTGGCTGTGTCTTCTTGCTCCCTCTTTTGGGGGGAGGGGCTGTGTCCTACCTCTCCCTCTCTATACTCGTTCATAAGCCAACCCCCATCTCTGGTGCTTCCCTTTTTTACTAAAAAAATTCGGCTTATGAACGAGTATATATGGTACAATATTATCAGTCTGTGACTGAACAATTCAAAAAATTGACAGGGGCCAAACAGGTCACCTATGATGGTTTCCACACCGGTGTGAAAAGGAATGGCGTAAGATAAATGACAAGCTATTATCACATCTTGGGATGTTGAACT